ATCTAGCTTGCGCCAACAGTTGTACATGGAAGCAGCTCCGGGCGGATGACGTATGAGGTCAGCCTTGCGCATGCGCCGGTGAGTCTCGTGAAAGCCAACGTTTGTTTAAAGGAGCAAAGGAAGCAAAGTTTCCTTACTTTAGCAAAGGAAAACCAGTCTCCTCTTGGCTTATATCGAAATCCTCCGACATTCTTCTTTACAAATCCTCGTTTTGTACTTCTAATTAGTGACCGCTGTTTTGTTTTGATCTCTCCGCTGCACTTCCGCGTTCGTCACTTCTGAGTGGCGCATGCGCAAAGCCGACCTCCATACGTCATTCCCCCAGAAATGCTTCGGTTTACAACAGTGAGCGCAAGTTACATTAAAGTGATTATTACGTTTTGAATATGCATATTTTTTTTTACAAAAACACATCGATTCGCTACAGGAGGTCTTTGTTCACCCCCCTGAGCCGTGTGAGACACTTTTTTTTATGGATGGGCGATTTTATTTCACTTCTTTTGGACTGAAGCACTGCAACACCCGCTGACTGCAATGATAAAGCTTGGAATAGCCAGGACAATTTTTAATCTAACTCCGACTGGATTCGTCTGAAAGAAGAAAGTCATATACACCTAGGATGGCTCTGGGGTGAGTAAAACACAGCCTAATTTTCATTTTTGGGTGAACTAACCCTTTAATTCGGTCCATGGGGAATTGATTGGATCCTTGTCTTTTGCTATCGCTGTGATCTCATATGAGTGACAGGATGTCCTGTCCTCGCGCAGGTAAACACGCCATCAGAGAAGAGACACATAAATCATTTATATTAAACACAGCAATATCCCATAAAAAACAAGAATTTTTCTTTAATCTGAACTGTTCCTGCAGTGCTTCTTACTGTATTGAAATCATCACGAAAACAGGCTGCGCAGAGTAAAACTAGAGGAAAGAAGGGAGGTCTGGATTCCATTAGTCATTCATATTGAATAATGCAACAGAGAGAGCAATAAAAAGAGTGAAGGATACATTACTAAATGAGTGAATGATAGTGGGATTGTTCTGTATATATCCACATACACTTCAATTAATTATCGCAGTCCATTCATTACACTCTTCTCAATTACTCCTAAAATATTTACCCTCACAGCAGCACATTCATAAGAGTGTTCTGGTTAAGAACTCCTAATTAACAACCACTAGGAAAATGCTCAAGCAACATTTGGTGATGTTTTCATCTGATAAAATGTCCTCGGATGAGCTGATAATCATCCCTTTTTTTCTTAAACCAATTTGTGGGGTCAGTGAGCACATGCAAATTTGTCAAGTGTATAAATTATGTTGCCATGGTGACCACTCCAAGATGAACTACTATAAATAAACTTTAAACACTGCCATAAACATGCTTTTTAAGAATACTACAAAACGAGAAGGAATTTAAGCTACACTGATGATTATTTTGTGGTCATTTTTATGACAGATAGCATCATGCATTATATTAAATTATATTACTGCTTATTCTTGGAAGGTCATTTTATCATGTCAACAATCACAGGCATTTTATAGGGAGATTTGAGTGTATACTTTTAATGTAAATGATAAAATATGTATCTTACCATGTATAAAGTGAGATGTACAATAACATAAGAAGTGTCTTAGGCTTATATCAATCAAAAATACAGTAAAATAGTAATATTGTGAAATATTATTACAATTTAAAATAGCTGTTTTCTATTTGAATATATTTTATTCATGTGATGCCAATGCTGAATTTTCGGTAGCAATTAGTCCATTCTTCACTGTCACATGATCCTTCAGAAATAATTGTGATATGCTGATTAGCTTCTCAAGAAACATTTCTTCTTATTATTATCAGTGTTGAAAACAACTGGAACAGGGGGACAGAAAGTCGCTAAACAAAGTTCAAAATAACAGCACTTATGTTTAATTAAAAATATTTTGTAACATTATACATGTCTTTACTGTCACTTTTGATCAATTTAATGCATCCTTGCTTTATAAAAGTATTAATTTCTTTCAAAACAAATCAAACAAACAAAAAAACTTACTGACCCCAAACTTTTGAATGGTAGTTTATAAAAGAATAACTAACAAAAACCATTGAAATAATGCACAATAGTTTATGGTATCATACTCTACTTAACCAGTGATGATGCTTTCCAATTCTTGAGGGTAATATTGCACATTTCCAAATTCTATTCTACAATTACTGGATATTACAAAAACCCCTGGAGGACTGTGAAAATGATGTGTAGAAAGTATCCATTAAATAAAAGAGACAGTTTCATGCTGCTCAACAAGTTATGTGAAGCGTAACAGCACTGAGCACTTACATCAGATAATCACACAGGGTTATGAAACAACAGAGACCGCAAGTAGCACTTTACAGTTTCACCTGTTTGATGAATTTGATGAATAACAATACAGCGAAAATGATGGCTGCATTTTCAGTGTTTCTTAACTCTGCATAATCTAAGTGCATTTTCTTTTTTACACATGGCTTGAGTGTCTGAAAACAATCATTGGTGTTTGAGCAGTCTTGAGCCTTTGTTTTTAGTTTTCTTAAAGACATTGCCCATTGACATTTTGGGTGAACTATCCCTTTAAGATGAAGGTGCTCAACACTGACTCTGAATCAGCTCTAAACAGCGGTCATTTCTTACCCAGCGGTTTTATTTTTTTCCTGTCTCATTTGAGAGTGCCAGCAGCATCAGATGAGGCCACATCAATCTCATTAGGAGAGCAGGGATGGATATCTCACCATGTGTGGTGGGAATTGGATTTGCATAACAGCCACATTGATGAGTTGGACTGGCCCTATGAAACGGATTATGTTGATTATAATAACCATGGCACATATTTGAACTGTGAGCCACAAGTGTGTGTGAATTGGCTGTTGGACACAGGTACACACAAACCCATCCTTGCATATTAGATTCATCCCTCTCTATCCTCCCGTACTGATGTTTTCACATTCAGCTGGTGAGGGAATTCTGGGAAAAGGGCGAGGTTTAATGTTTATATTTACTTTATCACACTTCTCATACATTAAGGGCCACTGTGTCCCTTAGGGCGAGCAGATTATGAAATGTCGGAGTGTAATTAAAGGTGTAGTATGAGCGCTGTATACATGCATGTGTGTCTGTGTTGTAGAAAATGACCTGAAGGCACAAGCAGCAAGAGCTAAAATTGTTTTATAATTGTGTAAATGAATAAAACAAATAAAATGCATGAATTTTGTCATTACTATTATAATTGTTGGTAGAATTGTAAAGTTATGGCTATAATTTCTGATTATGCTCTGAAAACACTGCATGACTGCATTATATTTTTGTGCACTCGTCCCTGTCCTGTTCTCAGCTAGGCATCACCATCTACTCATTAAAGTGTCTTGGCCAGCTAACAGAGCATAGCGTAGGGGGGCTGCGTGTGCTTTCACTAATGAGACAGAACAGACATCCACTGCCAGCCTTCCAGAGGGGATAGGAGGACAAAATCAAGGACACAGGAACACACAGGAGACAGTGACACTCAGGGAGTCCAAACAAATGGTCTAAGTTTGGTTTAACCTTAAACATCTTGAAACTGATCCCAGTCATATGTTCATTCAATGCAATTATTTAACAGGATAGAACTGCAGACTAGTGGGCCAGGCAGTGGATGATAAAGCAGCATCATCACTAATGGTTACTAATAAAGACACAAAAAATATGAAATGACAAAAATGGTACAGCTTTGGACAATTTACAATAACATTTTAATACCATAGCATAAATTGTGTTTTACCTTTAGCATAAATTAATTATTTAGCTTTTCAATGTACTCTGATCTTGCATCCTATTTAGGACACACAGTATGCAAATTGGGACACAGAACATGTATATGTACACCAGGTGTAAACTCGTGCTTTGAAACCTGAGACGTAAGCAAACACCACTGCAAGCAAGAAAAAAGCTGAGAGAAAAAATGAAAGTGAAAAAGACAGAGCTATTGCTTAGTGTCACATTAGAAGACGGAACAAGGATGTGTAATGTTAAATAGTGAAACACCAGCAACAAAGTGGGACGTGTGCATAAATATACAAAAGCTGGCACAGATGAGCATAACTGAACAAGTACATGGTCACACATAAATACACACACAGATGGTAAAACACACACACTAGCTGACAGAATTGCTGCATTTGACGAAAGGAGCTCTAAGCCTCTGGGATGATCTGAGATCATATTAACCACAGATGTTGATTATGTTTATCTGATGGAAATGATCTGCCTTTACTTAAACTAACACCTGAGCAGCTCATGCATCTCTTACTTTATGAGCTCACTTCTCACTTAAACCATGTCCTAACCAGGTGTGGCAGGTAAACCGAGTTTTTGTCCTAACAAATCAGAACCTTGACAAGATATTCTGACAATTGGCTTGGTTTCTATGGCTGGCACTGCATCTCTGAAATCTCATTGGTGCAAAATCCCACTCCACCATCTTTATACTAAACAAAAATGTTCTGGTTAGCCGGTATGTTGTTGCTTCACTTTCAGTGAGGACAGAAATATTTTGTGACAATGCAATAGGAAACAGTTTGCATGTGGCTCTTGTCACTTCCTGATCTCATTCTCACTGAACTGTTTCCTATCACCATTGCTGAAAAAAAAATCAGCCTAAGGTGGTTAGGTTGGACTGTTTTGATATGTACGTATACCCTGGTCAGGCATGGAGAACAGATAGCCGACCAACTATAAGCCAGCTTGGACTAGTTAAAAGCAGTTTAACACCTCAGGCTGGTTTAAGCTTGTTTTTTTTAAAGGATGCATTAAACTGATAAAAAGTGACAGTAAAGACATTTACATTGTTACAAAAAAAATCTATTTCAAACAAAAGCTGTTCTTTTGAACTTTCTATTCATCAGAGAATCCTAAAAAATATCACAGTTTCCACAAAAATATTAAGCAGCACAACATTTCTTAACATTATTGATAATAAGAAATGTTTCTTGAGCATCAAACCAATATATTAGAATGATTTCTGACAGATCATGTGACACTGAAGACCTGAGTAAGGGCTGCTGATTAAAGGATTTGAAAATGCTTTAGAATAGATTAAAGTAGTAAAAAATAAATAAAACAAAAACTGAGGTAGTAAGAAATGGGGAATAAAGCAGAAAAAATGTAAAGATTTACTTATGGGCATTGGTACTGCTCCTGCGGCTGCTGCTATTGGCTGACTGGTTGGAGATGCGTCCTGGCTGAGTTTCTTCTTGGCTTCCTGCACTGGATTCACAAACTGAGTCTTCTGATTGATGTGGCTGAAGGAAAGAGTGAGACAGTCAGTGCAAAGGACTGGAGAGGGCAGATACAATGACACACACATGCTTGCACAAACACTGAGAGTAGAGTACATTAGTGATGCTCATCTGTTTATGCAAACAGTCTTTGTAAAGGACGAAACCGTATCAGAGCCAAAAGGTAAGGAACTGCGCGCATGCGTCTCTTCCTGTTTGTCGTCTGCTAACCAGGCAGTCACTTTTTCCTTTACCACAGACATTTGGTGAATGAACAGAAAAATAAACAACATACTGAGACAGAAACTTGGAAAAATGACATGAACTGGTTTGACTCTGAAAGCATGCAACCCTTTCAACTACACAGTTCTGAGAAGACAGGATTCAAAGTCTTTAACTAAACATTGTAAAACTATTTTAAAAGTATTTGAAAGTATTTTATACATAATCAGTATTTTAGTATGATTTTAATATAAAAATCCTTAAAATAAGATAAACTTACCTGAGAAGCGAAAATGTTTAAGATATTATTAAGACTTAGAGAATACTTTTCAGAGAATATTTCTTAAAGTATATTTTTCTTACCTTAAATTTAAATACATTTAATTAAGGATATATTCTTCTTCTCAAAACATATTTAAGTTAATGTTAAATGTTCTTATTTTCACAATGTGACATATTCAAATAAAACAGGATATTCAACAAAAAAACTTTCAACAGGACCTTTTTTTTTCAATGAGAATTAATTGGATGGTGATAAGAGGGCGTTACCAATAGAATGTACAAACTGAGTTTGTGAAAACAATGCTTAAAATAGCTATTTAGTTATTTGCTAACATTATCCAGTAGTCTGTGTACCCTAAATGACATCAGAGGAAATAAAAGCTGTTTTAGAGAAAGTTACTACATTTTGATTAAATATTATGAAGACAAATTATAAAGACAAACATTTTTTCTTTTGGAAAAAGCATGCAGAGATTAATAGTTTGCAATAAAACTAGGAGAGTACATTAAGAAAGTCAATAGGGTCTGCTGACTTTAGAATTGATCTTGTTTTAATGAGGATGCTTTTACTGGAAAATAAGACAAAAACATTGATGAAGAATTGAATCTTTTCATGACCTTCTGAAATAATCAAAAAGCATTGCAAAAACATCTTTGATTAAAAGTACCACAGAGCATCCATATTTCAAACCCATCTGTAATTGCTACACGCACACTCTCCTCTACAACCACATTTGTTTTCTTGTTTGTTAGTTGCCGAAATGAATCAATATTACCTTGGCAAGCCTTTCCAGAGACACAAGCTTCACAGCACATGCGTGTCCTCTGTAGAGGTTCAGGCTCAGTGCTGGAGTGTGTTGTTTTATCCTAACACACAGCCCCTCCCACCCTACAGGTTCACATAAAGTGAAAAAAGCTGCTCGTCTGCATTGTGTTACTTCGCTTTAACTGTTGTACCTGCCGGTCGTGACTGCACCTCAGGAAGGCTTTTAACAGCCACGGATCCCTCAAAAAACCAGTCGGCGTGCTGTGTATTTGTAGAAGAAAGGTACTGTTTTTGCTTTTGCTGTGTGTGACTCATGCTGAGACTTATCTACCCAATCCACAATGAGCGAGAGACCGAGTGCTCTCAACTGACTGCTGAAGTTCCCCTTTTTGATAATTCAGGCAGTGAATAATGAGGGACTTGTGCCAAGCCATATTTAAATCAAAAATAAAACAATGTTTTGTTGACCTCCTTGCATGAATATCCTGGCACAGCAGGGACTACATAACCTTACATAAAATAAATGCCATTAAAATCAAATCCTGTATCCGTTTCCGAAAGCCCTCGAGTCGGCTGTCCTGCCCTTTATTTATCTATAATAGTACTATAATATTTACATTATTACTATTTGATTAAGAACAAATATAATATAGTATAATAAACATTCATTTCTAAATGTCTTTGTATTCAGCAAAACATGTCAATTTTTTTTTTCAACCGTAAATTTGATTAATTTCACAATTTTAAGTTTAAATAAATATATATTCACTGTGGTCTAAGAGTTTTTGACTCTCACAATCCCAAGTATTACAATCTTACTTCATACTGAACATGATGCTTTATAGAGTGACTTGGCATTCTGCAGTCATTTACATAAATCAAACAACTCATATAAGTTGCATTACTTTCATTACTTCTGTAATGGGTTTATGATCCCTTTGGTTGAGAATGAGGGTTAAAATCCCTTTATGCTTGTATTGTTGTTTTACTCTGAAAAACTGGATTTAACAAGAAACTAAACAGAAAAAAAAGTAAAAGACGAAGCCAAGTGAGCAACGGAAAACTTAAATGTATAGCAAAAACCAAGATGCTGTGGATAAAAATGTGCCATCCATCATTCTCACTAGACCATAAATGATATGAACATACTCACTCTACATAATAAGTCCCATACTGCGGGTCCTCAATCCTCTCCCAGCCATATGGAAGCTCTGCGGAGAATCAGACAGGCATATCAGAAACAGCTAGAACAGATGCAAATCACCCATGTGCTTGACACCAGGGGGTCTGATGTTCTGACGGTGAATTTCTGAGAAGCCAAATACCAGGTAGGTCAAGAAGTCTGGTTGGATTTACACGCATGTTTGGGCAGAGAGGAGATTAGAAGGCTGAGCGGTGAGGAAATGCAAGGGGTGCAGGTATTAGTAAGCTGTACAGAAAATGACTTGTTATCTTTCCCTGTGATGTGAGAGGTGTGGGGAGACACCATCCTGACATGGACATACGTGCCCATTGCAAAAAGTGGTGCTGGGATTGCTTGTGTGATATGGCTCTCAGCATGTCTCCTGTGAGCCATTAGTCAGGCGGGCCGGAGAGAGAGAGAGGCTAAGGTCTCACAGCTCAGCTAGGGTCTGTTTACTCTTATGTGTGTTTCATGAACAAACTCGGTCTCACCTCCATCCTCACATTTTTCAGGAGGCTTGGCTTTCTTTGCCAGTCGTGGATCGAGCCAGGTCGTGGTCTTGGTATTATGACTACAGAGAGAGGGAAAGAAGCATTATTAAACAAACACCTGAAAGCCTTTCTGAGCATGGACCTCCATTACACTGGAACACATATGTAGCTTAACAGTGTAACAACAGAAATATGACTATAGCTCACAGGAACAATGTGAAAAGCACACAATCAATCAATAAAGCTGCTCAACGATTGCTAACACCAGATTGCAAGATGTTTTTCAGATGTTTGATATTTTCAAAACAGTGATTTCCAACCATGTGTACACTTGGAGGTACAATGAAAGATTGTGATTTTGTCTTTTTAAAACCTGTTAAAATATATTTGTCAAATTGTCAAATGATAAAAATAAATAATCATACTTAAAACAAACAAACAAAAGAATTTAATAATTAAAAGTATTTAATGTGGGTCTTATAAATGCAAATCACATTTGTAGACACTCAAAATATATGTGCTTCAAGTCTGTTTTTCACCCAATTATAAATTTTTGTTGTGACTTAAAATATTAAAAATATTAAATATTAAAATGAAAATTAAACTACTTTTTTTTCCCATAATTAAAGGTAAAACAATTCTGAGACAATTCTGCATTTTTATTATAAATTCTTATTAAACCTTATTAGCATATCAATGTGAGTGAATTTAAAGAAAAATAACTTTTGAATGTCTTCTAATATTTGGCAAAACCTGTGAAAAAACTTTGTAATGAACAGTGTTGTTTTGTCTTTATATATATTAACTAGCAAGCATATTACTAGTATACTGGCTGTTTTTTTTAGTACTTATAAAGCACATATTAATGCCTTATTCTGCATGACCATATTTTAGATCCCTTAATCCTGCACCATACCTAAACTTAACAACTACCTTACTATCTATTAATAAGCAGCAACATATGAGTTTATTGCATTTATTAAGTTTATTGAGTTTATTAATAGTTAGTTAATAGTGAGAATTGGACCTTAAAATTAAGTAGGACAATATATAATTTCTATTTTTTAATTTGAAGAAAATGTTTTAATAATCTAATCTAATCGAATTGAATCTAATAGAATAGAATAGCATAATTATATAAATGACAATACCATAATATGGGTTTTAAAAGCAGGGACACTTGGACCTTACTGATGGAGCCAAAAAGGTTGCGAGAAAAATATGCCACTCATCACATTAAAACATCAGCAAGACCTTTTCAAAAACCACTTTAGCGGTCTCTGTTGGGTAGGAGTGAGGAGTCTACTCCAAAAGCAAATGTGTTTGAAATCTGAAATATTCACGACAAGGTGCAGCTCGTCCTCCGAGACTCATGCAGACAGACACGCGTGTGGAAGCAAGGCCCGCTGGGAAGGCTCCATTTAGCCGATTGTTTGCATTGTTCAGAGAATAAAGTATTGATTCGCTGGCTCTCTCTTCCTCTGTGTGGACAGCAGAGATGCTTGGTTAAGAGCTGCGAACACAGGCACAGGTAATGGATACTGAATGGAAGAGGCTGGCAAAAATGTAAGCTTGCCTCGGAGTCAGCACACGAGAGAAGAGCTGCTTCAAGTTCCCGAGTTCCTGTTTACTGAGCGAGCCTTTAGCTGGAGAGCTGTTGTCTATATCTGGGCTTGGTTACAGTAAATCATAGGCAAAATCTAAAAAGATGGACCCACAAATCATTCTGTGTTCTTTGTTATACAGCACAGCTTCTGCATGGTCCATAAACTTCCCGTCTATACAGTATGAAATACTGTCTCGTGAGGCCAAGAATGGTGATGCGGCTGACAATGCTAACATTGCGGATGCAGTGGGATCGTATTGTATTCAACCTACACATCTGTATGCTTATAGAACTATCGAATTTAAAAACATATTTGCAGTGTTGTGGTTGGTACTTGCAGTTTGGGGTTGGTCAATTTTTTTATGTTTGAAAAGTCTCATGCTCACCAAGGCTGTATTTATTTGATTAAAATTACACTAATATTGTGAAATGTTATTACAATATAAAATAACGTTTTTCTATTTTAATATATATATATACACAAAATGCAATTTATTCCTGTTATGCAAAACTGAAATTTCAGCAGTCATTATTCCAGTCTTCAGTGTCACATGATCCTTCAGAAATGATTCTATTTGCTGATTTGATGCTCAAGAAACTGTGCTACTTTTTTCCGGAATTTTTATGAACAGAAAGTTCAAACAAACTACCTTCACATCTTGCGGTTTATTTTTTTTTTATATATCTTTCCAATTATCATAGAAAATATTTTCGAATTGTATAAGTGAACTTCGGTCAATATATTTTTGTACTGGACTTTTACCTGATTAAATTTTTCTTTTGGGAAAAAAAAAAACAAACTGTTTTTTTTTTTTACCTGGTACACAAAATTGACACAAATTGCACTGACATCAAAAACCATCTTCCATTCAGTGGCCCATTTCTAAATGACATGTGTTTACAGTTTTCTACCCATTTAGCTGCCCACATAAGAAGACCAGTATTTAATTGGCACTGCATTCAAGGAGCACAAAAGAACAGATTTGGCTTATTTCTACTTATTTATCACTTGCAGAAGTAAAATGAAATAACTGAAAAAAAATGTTTTAAACACATTTAACTAGCCAATTCCCGGAACAACATTTCTGTCAAATAAACATAGTCCGAATCCCAAACCCTAAAATCTGATAGGACCGTTGATCCAAGTAAATGTCCTACTTGGCAATCAGGACTTACTCTATAAAGTAGACCATGCCGGTCTCCGTATAGGCCATCTCCCAGTTCTTGGGCAGAGGCTCCTGGCTCTCATCACGAGGCAGCATGTTCCAGTTGCGGAAGTCCATTCTGCTACTGGACTGTGTGTAGCTGGGCACAGCTTTCCTCCACTCCGGTCCCTCCTTGTGTTCTGTGAGTGGAAAGAGCAAAAAGCCAGTGAGACTCTGAGAAAGAGGTGGGGAAAACACACAGGATTGGGGAGTAATACATACTTTAACTCTCTCTAACACTGCAGAACAAACTTTCCAACCTTCTCAAGAGACGGAGAAAAACAGAGAGAGAGAAAAAGAGAGAGAGAAAGGAAGCAGACAACAAGAGCCACTGGATTTGCATGCCAGTACTGATGTTCGGAGAGCCGCCTCTCGGGCAGGGCCAGAGCCGGACAACGCTTCCGTGAAGCTGATATGCGTCACATACACAAATGTGCGTCTGTTTGTCTCTGTGCGTATGAGACAGGCAGTCTGCTTGCACATCAGAGCACAGGCAGAGATAGTATAAGAGGGTCAAAATGTAACACTCAAAAGTTCCATCCTTCAGTTAAAAGAGCCAATCGTCTTTTTGTTTACTGTAGAGCGCATGTGTTCTTGTAGCCAGGACTCTTATGATAAAACGGTGTCACGGGGTTGATTCCCTGGAAACATCACTTGATAAAATGAATATATAAAATTTGTATATGTATATATAAATATAATTTTATATATAAACCACCGTTCAAAAGTTTGGGGTCAGTAAGTGTTTTTTTTTTAAATAGTAATTAAGTAAGTAATTAATTTTATTCAGCAAGGATGCATTAAATTGATCAAAAATACATTTATTAATTGGGAAAAAAAAATTAGATTTCAAATAAATGCTGTTCTTTTGATCTTTCTATTCATCAAAGAATCCTGTAAAAAAGTATTATGGTTTCCACAAAAATATTACGCAGCACAACTGTTTTCATCATTGATAAGAAGAAATATTTCTTGAGCACCAAATCATCATATTAGAATGATATATGAAGGATCATGTGACACTGAAAACTCAGGAATAACAGAAATAAAATTGAAAAAAACAAAACAAAAAAAAAACTAATGTAATAATTTTTTCTGTTTGAATATATTTTTGATCAAATGAAAGCCTTGGTGAGATATACACTACCCATCAAAAGTTTGGGATCAGAGCAATTTTTAATGTTTTTTTAAAGGAGTTTCTTATGCTCATCAAGGCTGCATTTATTTGATCAAAAATACAGAAAAAAAACAGTAATCTTGCAAAATGTTATTACAATATAAAATAATGGTTTCTATTTTAATATACATTAAAATCTAATTTATTCCTGTGATGCAAAGCTGAATTTTCAGCATCATTACTCCAGTCTTCAGTGTCACGTGATCCTTCAGAAATCATTCTAATATGCTGATTTATTATCAGTGTTGAAACAGTTGTGCTGCTTAATATTTTTTTGGAACCTGTGATACTTTTTTTCAGGATTCTTTGATGGAAAATAGAATAGAATAGAATATAATAAATCAGCATTTTAGAATGATTTCTTAAGGATCATGTGACACTTTATATTGGAGTAATGGTAAATTCAGCTTTGCATCACAGAAATAAATTATATTTTAAAGGATATTAAAATAGAAACCATTATTTTATATTGTAATAACATTTTGCAAGATTACTGTTTTTTTTCTGTATTTTTGATCAAATAAATGCAGCCTTGATGAGCATAAGTGACTTCTTTAAAAAACATTACAAGTCTTACTGATCCCAAACTTTTGAACAGCAGTGTATATATTGTTATCAATATGGCCGGGACATCGGGGCAGAGGAAAACATGCCTGTGTTAATGTATGGTTTTGCGTGTAGATATACTGGTTGTACAGTACATGTGTAGAAGAAGTGAGGTGATGGAAAAAGTATATGTTGTCATTAAAAGGCTTGATATGATCTTGCTGACATAGTCATGATTGAAGTCCGTTCATCGGAATGATTCTAGCCTGCCGCTGGGACGCCAGCATGTGTGGCAGATGAATCAGCACTTGTTGTTCCTTTGCTGTAACCATGGCGGCACCATTCATGACACAGGCAGAAACCTAAGCTCCACCATTCAAAAGCAAATATCATAAGAAGCCTTTTGTGCTTGTGGCCGAATGGAGAAAGAAGCTGAACTCGACGATAAACAGAAGGGAGAATGTGGTGAACATTATTTAAAAAAAAGGATTTAAAAAGAAATCATACTTGTGTGTTCACAGAAAATAGCATAATGGGAACGGATGAACACAATGCGTTGCAGATTGAGTGTTGAAAGTAGGACGAGATGTTGTGCTGTGGTGAAACCTAATGGTGAAGGTTTGCTTCCACATGGAGACTATGGAAAAACAGCCATTCTGGCCTTACAACGGGGCCTTTCCACACAGTTATTTTAGTGAGAGACTATAACGAGTGTACATCAAGTAGTCTGAGCTGTATCCATCACAACTGGCCATAAGCAAGTAAACACAAACATTATAACCCACGAGGCTTACTGCAAAAACAAGACTAGCCATTTTAGTAATGCAAATTTAATCAATAAAAAACCACAAACACACTTCTGGGTTGCAAAATCATCTTCAGCTAGATACTGTTGCCATTTGCATCTTGTCCTTACAGTTGTGCCAGAGGGTTTACAAAGCTCTATCCAATCATAATGGAGGACAGCTGTGAGGCATCTTGTCCAACTGAAGATGAACACGGCCAACAAAGCCTCCCTCAGTGCATCCAGAAACCTCTTTTGGACCGATTGGTGAAAAAAATTCGGATTTTCTCCAGTGACCCTCTGAAAAACAGCTCATGTTTATTGAGGTTTTTGTGAGGTTTGTGTTACATAGATTTCCACTGACTTGAATTTAAAACTTAAAGCCCAAATAAACTCTTTTCGCATTAATCCTAAGTAAAAGTCTGTCTGGAGAAAACTTGTTTAAAAGCTATCTATTCTGAAGGGGTGAATAGCAAAAGGAAGCCAGATATTGCGGGATAGGATATCAGTTCCCATGGTGATCAATCATGCTAACACAAACAGAACAGTAGTGCTAACTGCAGTGGGTTAACGTGCTGTGAATATAATATTTTTTTGGCAGTTTCTTCCCCAAGTTCACTATCGCTGCATGTGAATAATCTGAAGGTGTTCACTGTTCCATATCCCATTGATTTATGGGAAAGAAAACTTGCTGTGCAGGGAGCATCAGTAAATCCTACCTACTTTCAGCACGATGTAGCTCAACACCAACTGAGCTCCCCAGAAGTCTTCCCAAAAACCCAGACTTAAGCAAAAAAAAAATACTGTTCCATGAAGCGAGTTAAAATCAAGAGCTAGAAATCTCAAAAAAGTCATGCATTTTTAATACTGATCTTATTTATTGTGGCTATTTCTCAGGCAATATTGTGGATTTTCAGTATGCTGGAGTGATATGAGGGCTGGGCTATGCATGGCTGCCCTCCGTTCCAATGAAATCACAAAATTTAATTCAAAATTTATATATTTATACACACACACACACTACAGTTGAAAAGTTTTGGGCTGGTATGATTTTTAAATGTTTTTGAAAGAAGCCTCTTATTCTCACCAAAAATGTATTTATTGTATTAAACTACAGCAAAACAGAAATACTGTGAAATATTATTGCAATTTTTAATTTATTTAATTTGTGTTTAATAGACTTTAATTTATTTTAATGTATTTATTAATTCTAATAGCAAAGTTACCTTTTCAGGAGTCATTACTTCAGTCTTCAGTGTCACAAGATCCTCCAGAAATCAATCAATAATATGCTGATCCGGTGCTTAAGAAACATTTCTTAATATAATATAGTTGAAAACAGTTGTGTTGCTTGATATTTTTGTGAAAACCATGATACTTTTTTCAGTATTCTTTGATGAATAGAAAGTTCAAAAGAACAGCATTTATTTGGATTTTTTTTGTAACAATGCACAGTAAAAGTCTTTACTGTCACTTTTAATAAATTCACTGCATGCTTGCTGAATGAAAATATTAATTTATTTTTAAAAATCTGCCCCCAAACTCTGAACAGTAGTGTCACCTCAACTTAACCTAGTGTATCATGTCAGTTTAATCTGGCAAAAGTGGATGGGGACAATGGATGTGTCCCCTGCCTTGGGAATCAAACTCATGACTTTAGTACTTTAAGTGCCATGTTCTATCATTCAGTTACACTTAAGAAACACTAGTAGAGCTTTTAAAAAAAATTCTATACAGCTACAGTGACATTAACCAAGCCCTAGGTGGGTGGTGGCAAGAGTGTACATTAGGGTGGCAGTGGGTTGGCACAAATGTAGTCATTAATGTAGAACCAAAATGACTGTAACAGACTAATAATAAGCCTGAGGTATCTTTTTAATGAGAAGGTAGAAGACAGAGTGCAGGGGATGGTACACAGTCAGACCGGCACAGCAGTTATTCTGTGGTGTGCAGAGACACTTTTATGCCTCACAGCAAACAGCAGCCTGTTTAACATGCTCATTACTTGGTGATACCAGCCATAAGCTCATTCATTCTAAGCTCAATATGATCTATTTATGCCACTGGATAATCACTGAAAAAAAACTCCAACTGATTGTGCATTTGGCCTACTAGCTCAACTACTGCTCAAGTTTCTGAAACAGCTTCAATAGTCTATATGACTCCTGCAGCCCTTCAGTGGTTATAAAGGCTCAAAAACTCAAAGCATGGCTCTAGCATCAAAATCACGTTTCTAATGTAATAATGATGTATACAGTGTATACTGATTAAAAATAAAAAATAAACGTAAAAACAAACAAAAATATGTCATTTAAATTCAATAACCCCTCAGAGCGATACACTTTGAGTCTGATTCAAACTGGTATGCTTCTAGAGTTTTTGTGAATCTTACTGACTGATTCGTTAATAAGAACCATCAGTTTATTACATTGTTTTACAAATCAGACACCACCACTCGTGCTCTGCTTGCACTTTTGCACACAGTAGAACCGACAGATGCTGAATAACTGTGCAATTAATAAAGAAATAATTAAGTAACACCAAATCACGAGATGAAATTGGACAACAATTTTAGATGGACCCAAACAAAGTCACCAGTGCCGATTAGATTTTAAACTGCTGTCCATTTTTGTTGACTTAAGCTCTATGCATTTAAAACCATTACATTATAGTTTCTTAAGGGCAAGCTTTACTGACCAGCTGGTCCTGACGCAATCAACGGAGGATAACTGACTTCCTGCATGACAGGAAGCAGCATGTGTGGAAAGCAATACACTAATCGCACCATCCTTTAGCACCATGGGGCTCTACAGTACTATACCCTCTTTATACAACTGACTGCACATCCAAGGAGCCCCCTCTTGTAAAGCTCTTCATATTGCTTTCACAAGGGAACACAATCAAATCTGCCCATAACAACTAAAGCTCTATTGACAGCATCTGTGCCCTCCTGTCAATTATCACAGAAAGTAAAGTCGCTCAGCTTGCAAAAATGAACTAAAAACACATTTACAGTAATACACTTACAATGAAAGCCTAGCAGGCAAGCTGCCAACACAGTGAATCACTCGGTTAGTGAAACTTTGAAACTAGCATGCCAAACTGTAAGCTAGTCATAATTTAAGTAGTACTACACTGAAAATACTCTTTTGAAAAAGTAGTTAGCTACACATATAAAAATGCATAAAATCTTAATATATAAACATATTAATACATGCACTTCATTAACTCAACTGGGGTGAAGTTGAACACATACTGAACTAGTATCATGAAGTAGTATCAGTTATTGATCTAGTATCATGCTATTGAACAATAGTTAGTAGCTTAGCTAACAGTAATTACCTCTTTGCAAATTTATATCCAATTATTTTCTACTGAGTTACATTTGTGCAGTATTGATTTCTTAATTGTCATCCATACGATGTATACTAGGCCAAATATGCAGTACATTACAATCCAGAAACTTTCAGAACCTATATCAATTCACTTAATCTTGTTGAACACACATTCCCAGTCTCACCTGTGAGCCCATTGACCATGGGTGGCCTCTCATCCTCCTCCTCTTCCTCAGGAGCTGCGCTGTCCTTTTTATCCATTTTGCTGACAGACGTGGTGCGTTTGCGCTGGACCTCCGCATCGAACTCCTCGTCAAACAGAACCTGGTCCACCAGGTCAGGCTGCACTGGACTGGGTTCTGCAGGTGGCTTAGGAGTGCCATAGTAATTACCTATGAAAAAAGCAAATATACTGTAAAAAGGACTTTTCACACTCTGCACAGATTTTTGGGGAAAATGCTTTTGAAATGAAAAAATATTACATTTGAGGAAACGTCTCGGTTACGTATGGTAACCCTCGTTCCCTGAAGGAGGGAACGGAGACTATGTATGTACCAGGAGCACCTTAAAAAACCACAACAAATTCCTCGTGTGTTTGCACACCTGGCGAATAAAGCCAATTCTGATTCTGATTCTGATTCTGAGAGGTTTCTGGAGAAGCAAACAGGTCTACCTAAGCAGCTCCGAAACGTTTCCAAACCAGCTGGACCGTCTGGGGATGGAGTCGCCATTCTCCCGGGAGCGCAGCTCGAGACAGCTCGTCGGCTGCCCGGTTGAGCAGCCCAGGAATGTGAACAGCACGAAGCAACC